ATTTATTTAGATTCACGGGAGATTCGATTAAAGAATGAAGAGGAGAGGATAATAGGAGTGAATATGTTGGAGTAGGGAGGAAAATTAGGTCGTAGGATCGTTCCAATTTCTTTGTCCATCAAGGTTCTTCTTCTGATGCTGCTTCTTCTACCGTTAGATAAGGAACGACGATTCTTCGAGGTTACTCGATCCTCGCCACACGGTTGCATAGGTCTTTTCAAGCGGTAGATTCCTCTTAGGTTTTCATTCTTCTTTCTTCCGAGGTCCTCTTCTCCTACCTTTTCCACCATTGTCTCTCTTCGTCCCTTTTCCTCGGACATCTGACGCGCGCGCTTTCGTTACCTCCGGTTTTTCGAATAAATCTCCTTTGTTTGGTGATCTTCGCCGTGGGAAAATTGTTCGAAAGGTCATCGTGGGAAAATGAGGGAATTCAAGGTTAGATCGGGTCGAGTTGCGCAAAATTGTTTGGAAGATCATCGTGAGAAAACGAGAAAATTTAGTATTTAAATTTCAGGTTATGTTAGGTTTAAGTTACGCAAAATTGTTTGGAAGATGATCGTGAGAAAAGGAGAAAATTCAAGATTATTTACATTGGAGGTTAGGTTAGGTTAAGTTACGCAAAATTGTTTGGAAGATCATCGTGAAAAGACGAGAAAATTTAGTATTTAAATTCGAGGTTATTTAAATTTCAGGTTAACTTGGGTTAAGTTACGCAAAATTGTTCGGAAGATCATCGTGAGAAAACGAGAAAGTTTGAGGTCGCGTAAATTGGAGGTTATGTTAGGTTAGGATGCGCAAAATCGTTTGGAAAATCATCGGGAGAACTCGAGAAAATTCGAGGTTAGGTTAGGTTATGCAAAAATTGTTTGGAAGATCGTGCTAAGAAAAGGAGAAGATTCGAGGTTGTTTGGAAGATGATCGCGAGATCAGGCTTCCTAGAAGTGTCGTTACGGAGACTTGGACGACTTCCTGTTTGAGGATGTAAAACGCGAAGTATCGATGGCGTGTTTATCGATGCTAGAAAAAAATAAATTGGCTGGTGAAGTTTGAAGGGAGGAAGTTGGTGAAGCGTGGCCTTGTAACGCTCTGCGAGATTTAATCGACTCGCACAGCTGCTCCAAGAAGTTGGTAGAAACTTGGAGAACCGCGTCGCGTTTCAAACGTCTACGGAACACGCCCTCGCGGCTTTGTGTCATGCTCCACGGATCCCTTCAGTTTCTCGAGTTTACGGAGCCTCTTTGGTATTAATAAGATCCCCGTGGCTGGGGTGAGAACCTCGTAAATGTATTAGAGAAACACTTTCTTTTATGTACCTTCGTTTGATTCAACTTGCAATTTGTAATTAGAACTTTGTTGTATGCTGATTAAGATTTCTGTTTCTGATAGAAAGAATATACAGGGTGGACCGCGAATTTATTATTTCATATGTGAATTAAGATTTCTGTTTTTGGTAGAAAGAATATACACAGTGGTCCATAAGTTGATTTATCATTGAAAGGTTGAGTAACTATTTTTCTAATGTACTGGGTGACTAGTTTTAAGAGACGTCTTAATTATTTCCACTGTTATTACATATTTTGCCACTGTCCCAAATATGACCACATAGGAAAGAAATTAAAATTATTATAAAACCCTAATAGGGGATGACATTAGATAATTAAAAAAAGAAATAGTGAAATTTCGCCATAGATGACATATTTTGCCACTGTCTCAAATATGACCACATAGGAAACAAATTAAAATTATTATAAAACCCTAATAGGGGATGACATTAGATAATTAAAAAAAGAAATAGTGAAATTTCGCCATAGATGACATATTTTGCCACTGTCCCAAATATGATCACATAGGAAACAAATTAAAACTAATGCCCTAATGGGAGATGTGACATTAGATAATTAAAAAAAGAAATAGTGAAATTTCGCCATAGATGACATATTTTGCCACTGTCCCAAATATGACCACATAGGAAACAAATTAAAATTATTATAAAACCCTAATAGGGAATATAACATTAAAAAATTAAAAAAGAAATTACCAAATTTCGCCATAGATGACATATTTTGCCACTGTCCCAAATATGACCACATAGGAAAGAAATTAAAATTATTATAAAACCCTAATAGGGAATATGACATTAAATAATTAAAAAAGAAATTACCAAATTTCGCCATAGATGACATATTTTGCCACTGTCCCAATCACGACCACATAGGAAACAAATTAAAATTATTATAAAACCCTAATAGGGGATGACATCAAAAAATTAAAAAAGAAATTACCAAATTTCGCCATAGATGACATATTTTGCCACTGTCCCAATCACGACCACAGGCAACAAATTAATTCTAATACCTTAATGGGGCATGTGAAGTTAAATAAATGAATAAATTCTGGAAGTATCTTCGGCAAAACACCGATACTTTCATTATCGACCGTGAAACAACGATTGGCCGGCAGCGTAGAAAACGTGGCAGCGAGAAAAATGGCCCTTCCGGACGTAACAAATGGCGTCTGCCAGTTCTACTTTCCGTGTATCTCGAAATAATCTCGAAAGACGAGCGCGCACACACACTGACCCGTTAGAGTTATGGAGAAATCGGTTTCGTTTCACTGACACACGGCGGACCCCGGGGGTTGCGAACGCCTCGCGCATTCGTAACAGAATTCCTTTTTCTTCGAGGAGAGGAACGTCCTCCGGTGACACGACGACGATCGCATGCAAATGCCGGATTACGTAATTGCTCGTGGGCCGAAAGGAGGAAGCGCGTGGAAAGAGGATTTGCGCGCGGATTGAACGACGGACCGGAAATGGGACAGAGATGATTTTAATGTAAGCAGCAAGGATTGAAGGGAGAAACGAGGATTTTCCTCAGGATCTTCTCTTTCTCTCTCTCTCTCTCTCTTTCTTTACCTGCAGGAGATGGATCCGTTTTATTCTGCTGTTTTGCATTTACGTTGTCGGAGCTGTGCAGTCAATATTAAACGAACATTTCTCAGGAGATTCTTTATTTACTTCCGTTTGCACGTTTATCGGAATAAATCTGCGATTTTAGAGGTACGTTTGCGAGGGACAATGCAGGGAGATTGAAAAGTAGCCAATTTTTGTAGATGCGGGGGAAGATTTTTTTTTATTTAGTTTTATTTGCACGCTCGTATAAATCTGATTTTAGAGACAGTATAGGAAGATCGCCACGTGGTCAATTTTCACAGACATGAGTGAGGATTTTTATTTGCACGTCCGTCGGTATAAATCTGTGATTTTAGAGACAGTACAGATGTTGAAAGGTAGCCAAAATTAACAGACATAAGTGAAGATATCTGGAGGATTTTTTATTTATTTTTATTTGCACGTTCGTCGGTCATTTTAGAGGCACTTTTCTGAGAGAATACGGAGATTGAAAAATAGTCAAAATTAACAAACACGAGTGAAGATTTCTGGAAGATTTTTGATTTATTTTTATTTGCTTGTTCGTCGGTATAAATCTGTAATTTCAGAGGCACTTTTCTGAGAGAATACAGAGATGAACAGACATAAGTGAAGATTTTTTATTTGTTTATTTACACATTCATGAAACGATAATGAAAGATTGAAAATGACAATATACCATAAAACAATATACGAAACACTCGATCACCAGCTAACGAAGATGAAACTTACACGCACACCCTGCGCACCCCGACAGTTTTATGCTAAAAATTTCACCGACGCGTATTAGTATCCACCGAAAGGGGGGAAGCTCCCATATTTTTCCCCCGAACGAACCGCGCGCTCATTCGTTCATTCCCAATTACTCTGATTAAAGCACTGCATGATATACTCTATCACTCTAGAGCCGGGGCAGCACAATTTCCACCGAGGTCTGTATTAATCTCTGCCTATGGAGCTTTCGATCGGCCGGCGTTATAGCCGCTTCTGTGTTTCACGCAGAATTCCATCTACTCCGTGCTAATTAATTCCGCGGAATCGAATCGATACCCCAACGGCGACCATTTATACCAGGAAAACACACAAAGATTTACCGCGGAAAGAGAAAATCCTTCTATAAGGGGGAAAAGCAGAAGAAAGAATACGTACCTCGTTCCTTTTCTTTCTTTCCTTTTCCCCCGGTTTGCTCGACATTTTCATCGAATCTCGATGGAAAAGTCGAGGTTCCTCTCTCTCTCTCTCTTAGCATGTCGCTAATCGGCGCGCGTGCAACACGCGAAATGATTTGCAGCTCGTTCGCGGCGTCTACTTTTAATAGCGGCCGTCGTGGCGTATTTATTGTCGCGTTGGAACGTGGAAAATTCATGCGGGCACAAATCATCGTCTCGTTCGCCTCGTGTGTTTGTGTGTGTGTCGCATTTTATATGCAAAAAGGAAAGAAAAAACACACGACGTACATTACCGCTTAGTTTGTTGCACGGATTCTCCACCGTTGGTAATAGGTGTGTTTATTCGCGTCTCTGGCTTACGTAAGAGGAAGACGGTGTGTGTGTGTGTTGAGATCTTGCATCGATTTCGAAAGGCACACTTAAGCCTGATAGAATGTTACGAAAGACACTGGGGACAGTTAGGTATATAAGTAGGCGGCACGATGGGATCTAGTTTCGAGGGAGAGAGAGATTTGCGTAGGGTGTATCCTTCGAATGAGAGAGGATTTATTCTTGTTACGATGGGAAACAGCGTCCTTTTGTGCTCGTGGAAAGGTATTATCTAAGCGATCGCGATGAACCGCGACGTTCTTCTCGATGGAACGGTGCCAAGATATTTCGGTATTTATAGAGGTGGTGGACGTGTGTGCGCCAGTGTGCGCCGAGAATCTTCATTAGGTGGAATTTTGAAGGCTGAATAATTTGGTATTTGTGTCCTGGGATGTGTTTAGGTATTTTGTTGTCTAGATATTCTGGTACCGTTGGCTATTGTGGTGTTTTCGCACGCTGGTGCTTGGAATTGCGAGCTTGGTATCTGAGGGTTCTGGTGTCTGTGCGTTTCGGTTAGCTGGGTGCTGTGAAATATGGAGACTTTGGTATTTAGGTACTCTGGAAAATTTGGGCTCTGTGGTACCTGGGTGTCTTGAAGTCTAAGGACTCGGGTACCTAAACACACTAATATGTGGGCAGTTCAATGTTTAGGCATTTTAGTATCTAAGCACTTTGGCACATAGGCATTCTGCAAAGTTTAGGCACTGTGGTACTTAAGTATTCTAGAGTCTGGGAACTCCGGTACCTATGCACGCTAATATCTAGGCATTCTAGTGTCTAGGCACTGTGATACTTAGACATTCTAGACTATCTAAGTATTGTGATATCTGGGCACTCCAGTATCTAAGCACTGTGATATCTGGGCAGCCCAATGTCTAGGCATTCTAGTATCTAACCACTGTGGTATCCAGGCACTGTGATACTTAGGCATTCTAGAGTCTGGGGACTCTGGTACTTAAACACTCTGATATCTGGGCACTCCGGTGTCTAAGCACTCCGCAGTATTAATCACTATGGTACCTAGGTATTCTGACGTCTAAGTCAGTGGTACCTTGAGACTCCGGTACCTAAGCACTCTGATATCCAGGCACACCAGTGCCTAAGCACTCTTACATCGAATCTCTCGAATAGCCGAACTCGCTATCACCCAGTTACTCGATTATCTACTCCACCTTTCCCAATCTCTGCCGAGTAAAATAAAATTCACTAACGAATCCTGTTTTTCTTTCTTGCAGCACATGGTGCAGACAGGCATGGCTGCGCCCTACGGTGGGGGTGTATTCCCCCCGCCGGTAAACGGCGTAGCGGGTGTCGTCGGGGCAGCCGGAGCGGCCGGTGAGGTGAAACCACCGCCACCGGTGCCGGTGAAAGAGGACAACAGTGGTGCACCCCAACAACCGCCACCAAGCGGTCCACAGGTACCAGCGCCAGCTGGTGCCCCACATCAAACCGCCCCCGGTGCCCCGACCGCGGCCAGCTTCAGTCCGCCTCCACCTCCAAACGGCGTTGATCAACAGGCTATTGTAAGTTACATTCTATCGCTTCCTTACCTGTCGCTCCAATTTTTTTCCCACTTTCTTTCGTCTTTCTTCAACTTTGAGGTTGATCGGTGCAATTTTTAATCGCAACGGTAGATTCTCGCAAATACGAGTTAACTCGTCGTCGGTTAGCCAATACTTGGAACACGATAATTTATTTATCGAGGGATTGTTACAAGAACGAAAAGAAAGTGTTGGAATTCACCGTTAACGCGCGCGTACTCTCTCGGTGCGTAACCGGGGAAAGTCTTTCGACCTGGGTTTATTGCACCCCTTGCTGGCCTGAAGACTTGTCAGTCCTCAGTGTCGCCGTCCATCTAGAGTCCCACTCTTAGGACCACAATAGTTTAACATTCACTAGGACATTCCACTGGAGTTATTTATTGTAATAAACAACTTATAACTCTTACTCATTTTCAATTATAAACTAGAGAGATTCAGTTTCTCTTTCAAAGAGAAACACAGTTGGGATGTTAAAGTGGACTTTTTAGTGTATTAACGCTTTGCGGACGGAGCTGCCCGACGAGCAAACGTCGCTGCGGACGAGAGGTATTGGTGTGCGCAGTAGAGAAAAATCGGTCTCTCCCGAATATTTCGGCAAAGTAAGGAATCCTACATTTATTATCTGTTGACCAATATTCCTTTAGATTCGGAAGTGGTATTGTTCCCATAACCAATATTGTACCGAGAAATGCTTGCATTTCCTTTGGTGTAACATTAGTCCACGCATGCCACATGGACCGTTTTGACAAATGTTTTTCCTGTATTTTATTATTTGCATACCGATTAGTCTCGTCAGCTATCTTCTTGATCAATTCATCGGTAAAGAATGATTTGAAATAATCTATAGGTTCTGTATAATTTGGATTTAGCTGTGAACCAGCGTTTCGTGATCCCGATGTGAATTGTATTTTTTGTGGAATGACATCTTGATTTGTCAATTCCTCCATTCATTGTCGCGGCTTGTATTATTTTCATTAATATTTAGTTCATCGTCACTGCTATTATCACTGGAAATATTGAAGCGGATGTACGGATTTCACTTCCACTGTCTGAAGCAATGTCGTCATCTTCCGTCTTGTCAGATTCAAGAAAATATTCGTCATCACTACTATCACTATCAAACGTATCCTCTCTGGATCTTTTAGACATCGTGTATAAGATGTTATAATGTACAAAATATATGTGAAGCAATGTCGTCATCTTCCGTCTTGTCAGATTCAAGAAAATATTCGTCATCACTACTATCATCACTATCAAACGTATCCTCTCTGGATCTTTTAGACATCGTGTATAAGATGTTATAATGTACAAAATATATAAAAGGCTTGCTGGTTCGTCTGGTAGTGACACTGAGAGACTGATTCGAGAGACTGAAATTCGTTCTGACTCGGCCATCATCCCACATCGTGAGTTTACGTTAAACGGAAGATAAGACTTCATCGCTAAAGATCTCTAATTTTCTTTCAATGGAAACGTGATACTGTTTAGTGTACTATACCCATGCGTGTCTTATAATTCAGAAGAATGGACGTACGCGAGCCGCTTCATAATACGTCTCCGCAGCTGTAAACAGAATTGGGCGGCTATTTGCCGACACTCGTCCGCAAAGGGTTAAAAAATGAGGATATTTGTTTCAACTTGAATGAATGAAAAGATAGTAACAGTATCTCAACCCTTTCATCGATCACTGTACCCTCGTTTCACAAATCACATATTCCAGCAACTAACTTCACGAACGCGTTCCCCGCATAATTCCCATCAACTCCCCACCAAACGTTCCCCGTCCAAAGGGTTAGTTCAGTAAATGGAGTACTGAATGATAACTTTGATGCTCCCAGAGAAAGAGCACACTTTCAATATTCCCTCTTTCAAATCTCTGAATGCAAAAAAGAAAAAAAGGAAGCCAGATTCCTTTGCTCCCTCTCCCTACAGTGAACATATCTTCCATCTATTCCACCGTTTCCCAATATCACACTCCGCGAGCGAACCTCATGTCAAATCAGCTTCCTCCGAGGCACAGTCATTTCCTTCCACCCTCCCAACAATCGTGTCGAAAAGGCGACGTCGACGTCGCCGTGTATGTGTGTGCTCGCACGAAAAAAGAATCCTCCTGGCCGGCAAACCGTTTCATGTACCGCTCGTTGACATTCTCGCTACACTTCACACAAGAAGGGGGACCACAGCTAGCTCTCTTCCGGCGGATGCAGCAGCGGCGGAACGCGACCCCGTGAAACCGAGGTCACGCCACGTCGATTGGCGCTCGCCTCTCTCGAGCCCGGCACACCGAAACTGTTCCTCCCGTCCAGCAGAGTCGACGACGACTACCTTCTGCTATTATATCCGCTAACTTCTACTTTCTGCTGTAGTAAGTTAGCAGTCGATCGCCTTTCCCGGCGGGACGACAAAACTTCTCCGATTTCCTCAGGCTCCGCCACGTCACGTACAGACACTCGATGATTCTACGCACGTACGTCGAGAAACACAGGGGCAGATGGCCCTGTGGCGTGCCAGACGAGGGAATTGACTTGCGTGGTGTATGTACCTCGGTTCGTGAAACTTCTCGAATCTGGAGGCTGAAATTAATAAGGATTTCGGTGGATGTAATTTCGGGGTCTAATTGGGTTTTGGGGTTGTTGGTGTGGCTGGAGTTTTTCGAGTCTCTTGGATTTTTGTCGGTTGTCTTAGGTTTTCTTGGATTTTTGTCAATTCTCTTGGGGTTTTCTCAACTCCCTTGGATTTTTGTGGGTGTTTTTGAATGATTTTTTTGAGATTGGAAAAGTGGTTCAATTTTGCTATTTTTTGGGGATTGACGATGACAAGTGTTCTTTGCGCAGTATACATAAAAATCCTGTGCAGTTTTTATAGTATTTCGAAGGATTTGGATGGGTGTAATTTCAAGGTCTGATTAAATTGTCGGATAATTTCTCTGTCAGGATTTTTGTGTATATTCCCAAATTACTTTTTTTTGTGATTGGGAAAATGGTTAATTTTTGTCATTTCTTGGGGTTCGCGGTGATAAACATTCTTCGTGCAGTATGCAAAACAGTCCTAAAATTTGAATACTATTTCGTGACGCAATGGTTCAAATTCCAAAGTGTCTTCGTCCAAAATTGAACATTTTATTCACCACAATGAAACAAATTCAAACTACCATTCCTTTTCCTATCAAAAAAAAAAAGAAAAGAAAAAGTATAGTTGGGGCCACGATATAGCGAGGTCGTAAATTAAACTCTCAAGAATCGGCATCGATTGATGTTGCGGCACTCAAGGCCGTGTGTTGCAGTCTGTTTGAGGGTTCCAACAATAAACGAATGGTAGCATATGATTTGGTACTTCAAGTAGAAAATGGTATTTCATTTACAAATGGAAAATATGTTAATATTAAAGCTACACAATCCTTTTGCATTTTCTATCTGTATATAACACGAGCAGGTAAATGAAGATGTTAAAGACCTCAATAAGACCTTTACTTGTAACCGTACTTCCAAAAGCGGCTTTTCCCAGAAGAAAAAAACCCTAAATTGTCCTAGCTGAACTCAATTTTCAGTAAATATATTAGAATCAGTTTGACTTTCGCTGGATACAAGAATTCTTTGTACGGTCCTGACCATGGTTTCAAGTACTTATCTGCTCGTATTTCTGTCAATTTCGGGGTCCCGGCAGCTAAAACATGTTTACTTTGACGCCTAACCGATTTTACGACCTCGCTATATCGTGGCCCCGACTATACCTATATACCTACTCCAGCGGAAAAAGATCCGCCATAAAGTCAACATCGTTGCAAGTTCAGAGTAAATCAGTTAAAAAACCAGAAGGAAATACTCCCAGGCAAAGTGAAACACTCGGTGTGTATGATAAAACACTTGATAAAGAGCCACTTTGCAAAGTACTCGATCGTCGCGACGAAATCACTCGTTTCCTCAAACTGGAATCTGATCGTTTCTTCCGCGTGGTTTGCCAGCCTGATCAAACAAATATCCTGCCGCTCTTTTCCCCGGTGCTGTGTGTTGCTAGGCCAAACATCCTGGCTCGCCGTGCAAACGGTCGAAATTTGTTTAAACGCGCGATAACTCGCCGTCGTCGTCGTCGTCTACTCCTGGAGTTGGGTGTAGGGTGAGCCGGTACCTCGCGGTAATTAGCGCGACTCATAAAGCGGCCTAATTAGCCGCGCTAATTAAAGTAATTCCGTTCGTTAATTCGATTTACTAGGCGGCTGGCTGGATTCCGGACCAAACAGGAGAGCGAGAGAGAGAGAGACCCTTTTGCCTCCGTTAATTCCCTGCCACAGCGTTAGTCGACACGCTCGACAACAGCTTTTAATTAAAAGGGCCCCGTGGAAACGAACACTTCCACGGTACTGGCCCTTTCCACATCGACAAATCTCTCTCTCTCTCTATTCTTTTTTTCGTTCGTTCAATTTTCGTAGGAAAAACCTGTGGGTTTAGATCGAAGCCTGGCGAAGGACCGGGGAAAAATGTGCACGGATTAGAATGGAGGATTGGAGGACAAAGGAGAGGTTGCTGATAGTGGCTGGAGGAATCTAGCGAACGCTCAATGCCACTTCCCCCACTATAGAGGCAGAGTGGAAGTGGATCGTTTCTCTTTGTAGATTGACTCTAGGTGTGGATTAAATTTAGGGAATTTTTTAGGTATATTCGATGCAATGAAATACTAATTTACGTGCTGATAGATTTGACTTAAGATTGTGGGTTACTGATAGATTTTAGATGTATATTTTTAATTCCCAGGTAGGCAATTGAAAAATAAAAATTGAGGATGAAAATGCACTTCTGATAGAATTGAGAACAGTTTCATTTCTCGACACTGAATTTTCTCATTAATTAAAATGCATCGGCGGGATGGATCAATAGCTATGGAGGTAGTTTGCTTCCTCGGGATAAGAAAATAGAAACATTTCAATTGTTGGGCAAGAAATTTGCAGAGAATTGAGGATGAAAATGAGCTCTATAGAATTTCTAATA